TAACAAAATTCTTGCTTCAATACGTACTTTTGCTTTTTTGTTTCTCACAGCCAATTGTTAAGTTTACACTGCTCGTCTCGACCCGATTTCTCTCCTCGTTTCCCTGCACTGCAACAGTTCAGTCAACTTCTCTTTCTTCCACATACCATATGATGCTGCCCTCTTCAACTCTCCTCTTCTTCCTTTATGCTTTCACCTATTTTCTTTTTGCCATCCCATGGGAGGAAGACCAATTAAACAATGTTTACTGTTGTCACAGAAAACCAACAATTATAAATGTATGATAATATGCTGTCATGACTTTGCAATAATTTTTTTTTTTGTTGTAATAGAGGCCAATGAAGACAAAATGGCCATGAATATAATGAAAAGGGAGTAAATTTGCCCAGAGTGTATTGACTTTTTTAATTTCAAAGCATTTTTCCAGAATATGTCAGAAAAAGATGTCCCCAAATATCAGTCCGTTTCCTAAAACACAGATAAAGTTTTGGCCAAATTAAGCCTCAAAATCAACCCAGAATGGATGAAAATGACCCAACAGCGCACAAGGGGAAAGGTGCAGAGATGTATAAAGTACTAGAGACCCAGACTTAAGTAAAAGTACAAGTACTCTATCAAAAAGTGACTTGAGTAGAAGTGCTCTTTAAGCACCATACTTAAGTGGAAGTAATAAAGTATTTAACATTTTTTTCACTTAAGTATTGCAAGTAGTTTTTCAAAATTTACTACTCAAGTACTGAAAGTAAAAGTACAAGTATTGTGTTATGTAGTTATTAAAGAAAGCAGTCAAAAGACATATTGTTTTGTTAATTTTAAATCTTTTTTTCCTTGAACCACAGATTATATCAGCTTTAACACACACCTTTCAAAGTTGTCACAAAAACACTTCATAATTCACTCAAAAGGCTATTGAAACCTATTTTCGGAAATGGGTTTCGCAAATTACTGGTTATAAACACTGTAAATGGAAGATCTAAACATTTTTCCAGAAGACGCTGGTCGCTATGGCGACCTCAGTGCAGCTGCCAAGAAAAGGTCTATAATTGTAACGAGTGGGGGTGTGAATTTACACTGGTCTCACGGTTTGGTTCGGTTACGATTATTATGCCAATGATTCAGTTCAATTCGATAGCCAAGTATTGACGATGCTTTCCATACATAGATTTTTTGTTCACAACACAATAAATTTTTTTTTTTATTAAAATCTAAAAAATATATTAATATTTATATATTATCCCTTTAACTTCCTGCTCGACCAAATGGTTGACCATATTTTGACTGACCATATCTTATTGAGAGGAGTACCTAACTTACCTAAACCTGATTGAGCCATCTCTATCATTTGGTTGAGGTAGGTTATGCCAAAAAAATCCACTAGTTGTCACTAACTCAATCAAAAGCACTCGTCACAACATTGTTTCTACAATGAAATCAAAAACAAGGAAATCTGTCCTGACATCATGTGAACTGTTTTTGGTAAAAATTTGCAAGGTAAGCATATATTTTGACTTATTACCTGCTTAGAGCCCTAACTTTACAAAGTTATGGTACTTGGTGTCATAAAAAATATTTAGTGTAGGAATTTTTGAAAAACATGCTCTACTAAATGGTTAATTTGTCACTTTATGGTAGAAAAGCAAAACTAAAGATTTCATATCATGCATTTCTGCAGTCTGAATGGACTGTTTGCTGAGAAACATCAGCTTTTGATAATTCACAGAATAAATATGACACAGCTTGTTATTTATTCATGAATATACTAAGATCATTTCTTAAGTATATCTATTTTTCAACACTTTTAGGATAGTTTTGGAGTAAATATAATGAATTTTTAGAACTTATTTGTGGAAATCACAACTTTTAAAGATAATTACCTCTTAAATGGCAAATACTTGTATACCAGCATTAGCACAATCGTAAGAAATTTAAATTTGATTGTTTGTGTATTTTTTGTAGATATTTGATGGATGTCAATAGTTTCTACAGTACAAGAACTCATTGTCAGGCCCTTTTACCAGAAAATTCTTTCACTGATGAGATAATTCAGCATGTTCACTCACATACATACACTCTCTCTCAGACACACATGCACATACATACACACACACACACACACACACACACACACACTGCCCTGCACACACCTAATGTAATGTACTATGTACACATTCTCCCTACACTCTCACACATTCTTACACTCTAACACGCGCGCACACACACACACACACACACACACACAGTTCTCTCTGTCTCTCACTCACACACAGAAGTTTGTTTTCGTGAAAATTGGGTACATTACATAGGTTTCCATTCATTTTATACTGTCCAAACCGTATATTGTATTGCCCTCACCCCACCCTAGCCCTAAACCCAACCATCACAAGAGACAGTGTGCAGCTTTACTCTGATTAAACTCATCCTGTGGAATTTATAAGCTTTTTGAGAAAGGAGGACGTCACCAATGTTCTCATATTTCACCTCCTTTTTGTAATAACCGTGTCATACCTATGTCATTAAACAGATTTGTGTCCTAATATGTCACAAAATCACGCACACACATTTTTGTGAATTGTGGGGATATTACATAGGTTACAATTGTTTTTATACTATATAAACTGTACTTTCGATTGCTCTAACACCAAATCTCTAAACCCAACCCTTACAGGAAATTATGTAGTTTTACTTTCTGAAAATAAAAAATATTTATTATGATTGCATGTCAAAAATAATGTCCACAAAATTTACCATCTCCTCGTAATATCCGTGTAATACCGATGCTTTTATATACATGGACACACGTACACACAAACATGTATAAATAAACTATTTTCCACACTCATACACTCTCTTTTACACACATGCACACACGCACACACAGGTACAATCACACTGTTTCTCACACTCTCTCTTACACACATTATTCACTCTCACACACACACACACATAGACAAACTCACACTTTGGGAGTTTTGAAGTTTGATTGGTTAATACCACAATAAACAGTTCCATCTTCTGGAAGCTCTCGTGAAACTAAACTAAACAAGCAAACTAAATCCTGTTGCACTAATTCACTTGATTTTGATTTTATTGTAAAACAAAACTGGATAACATGTATATTACTGTGTTAAATTAAAATCTGAAAGATTTTATGGCTTGTGGCTATTATTTAGTATTCAATAATGTTTTATTTTGATTATGTTTTATGTTTTCTTACACTTCATATTTTCAGGTTTTTATAGTATATTTATTAATTCTGGTACTTTTACCATAAACCTACAAATTTAATCATTTGGTAGAGGCTGATATTTAAAAAAAATTATAGGATGTGTTGAAAAAAAATGCATTGATTGTGTTAACTAGCGACATTAGGAGTTAAGAAATCCAAACAAAAAAAATTATATTGCTTTTTTTCTTGGTGTGACAGTTAAAGGGTTATTTGTAATACAATTTTGTCCTTTAATACAGCAGTAAGATATATAAACTTTACCCTTAATTTGACCTGCTCAAAGAATACACTCATTCTGAATGTTTCAAACAAAACTCCAGTACATGAGCATTTATACTAAATGAACTAATGTAAATATTCTCCCGCTTGCTTTTTGAGAGCAGACAGGCAAGGTCTTACACCACTTTGATTAGTTATTGTCTTCACCTGCTCAACAGAAAGGGTGTGATCTGCTTTAGAAATGAAAGCGATGTTCACCGAAGGTGGGAAGAACAGCCGAGGTTACAGTTTATGCACATAATATGCGGTTATCACAGGTAACCCAAAATAGACACAGTGGATAAAACTTGCACATCAGGCACGCTCGTGTCTGGATCCACAAGAATCGCTTTAACAGCCAAGAGGAGATGAACAGTTACCTCACAAACAGGCCAGCGCAGCGGGTCAAATGTCCAAAGTGAGAGAGAGGCAGAGATGAAGTTTTACAGCATTTCTCCCTATAGAGAAATAGTGGCTCGTGTGCTGTGCCGCCTTCACTCGCCCTCACCTCCATCCTAGTATTGCGTCATTGTGCATATGAGATAAAGTACGTCAGTACGTAACAACCGGTTATGATTTATTACTGAACTGATATGGATAATTTTGACACCCCTAGTAATGAGTAACAATGCAGCACATAAAAAAATCTATCGTAGTAAAAGTATCAGCGAAAATATGTACTTAAGTAAAAGTGGATACAGGAGAAAAAAAACAATACTCCAGTAGAGTACAGATACAGCCTTTTAGTACTTAAGTACAGTATTGAAATAGTTCTACTTCGTTACTATACATTTCTGGAAAGGTGCACGTTCCAGCGTTTATGCAGATGCTGTACAGGTATGTCTCATGTCTGAGAGGGAAATATTCAGCTGTTTGTTCATTATGAATATATTTATGAATAAAAATAGGCCATTTACGACTTTTAAATATGTGTCTTATCAATATGACCAAAATGACTTTTGAGAAACTGAAAACTGGACTGACACGGTTTCAATTTACTAGAACTTCTATAAAGCGGCTTTAACAAAATTTACATTGTAAAAGCACTAGATAAATAAAGATGATTTGAATCTGCTTAAATGTGTACACATTAACAGACCAAACAAAATATGATCTGATTCATTTGACATTTAATGTGCATCAAAATTACAGCATGTGTAGCCAATGTTTCCAGTGTCTTTTCACTTTTCAGCTTTTGATGAAAGTTTTTAAGACTTAATGAAAACTAATGTTTTATTTATTTCAGACTTAATTGAAGAGTACGAGGGGAGTAAAGAGGAGGAACATCATGTCAAAATTGAGGAAAAAACTCATTTACAGACTGATGGTGTTTTGAAAAGGAGAGACAAGAATCGTTTCACCTGCACTCAATGTGGAAGGAGTTTTGGAAGAAAAGGCGATCTTAAGATTCACATGAGGATCCACACTGGAGAGAAAATATCCACATGCACTCAGTGTGGAAAGAGTTTTGGAAGAAAAGACCATCTTAAGATTCACATGATGATCCACACTGGAGAGAAACCATTCACATGCACTCAGTGTGGGAAGAGTTTCAGCTACTCATCACACCTTAATGAACACATGAGGATCCACACCGGAGAGAAACCATTCACATGCACTCAGTGTGGGAAGAGTTTCAGCCATTTATCATCCCTTAATCAACACATAAGGATCCACACTGGAGAAAAACCATTCACATGCACTCAGTGTGGGAAGAGTTTCAGACACTCATTAATTCTTAAACAACACATAAGGATCCACACCGGAGAGAAACCATTCACATGCACTCAGTGTGGGAAGAGTTTCAGACAATCATCATCCCTTAATTACCACAAAAAGATCCACACTGGAGAGAAACCATTCACATGCACTCAGTGTGGGAAAAGTTTCAGCCAATCATCATCTTTTAATTACCACATGAGGATCCACACTGGAGAGAAACCATTCAAATGCACTCAGTGTGGGAAGAGTTTCAGAATATCAACATCCCTCAATTTACACATGATGAGCCACACTCGAGAGAAACCATTCACTTGCACTTAAGCCACGATCACACTGGACTTTTCTTCCCATAGACTTCCATTCATACGCACGTGAATGCATCGGACAGGAAACGCAAATTTGTGCGTTTCCTGCAAAGTTTTGCAGTTTACTACATTGCAAAGTTCAAGCTTGGTAAACTCTGACCTGCAAAATCGCATCACTTGATTGTGTGAGACCAATCGAAGATCAAAATATGAACTCTCTTGGCAGAAATGTAAAATATGGACCAATCGCTCACTTTTTTTAATGTCTAATCATCTTGGTTAATCCCGCCCCTTTTGCAGCGCCATACAACAGAATTTTGCATGCTCAAACTCTTGTGTGACCGCAGCTTCGGTGTGAGAAGAGTTTCAGTTACTCATCAGAAGATACTAGAAAAATACTAGAAAAAGTTGTTTCTACTCAATTATGTTCCTTTTCTGCAGACGAACAATATTTTTGATGTGTTTCAGTCAGGTTTCAGGGCTCATCACAGTACAGAAACCGCATTAGTGAAAATAACCAATGATTTACTCTTAGCTGCTGACCAAGGGTGCATCTTGCTATTAGTTTTACTCGATATTAGTGCGGTATTTGACACCATTGACCACAATATCCTCATAAATCGCTTAAAGTCTACAGGTGTCCAGGGACAGGCTCTACAATGGTTTAAGTCATACTTAACTGACCGTTACCAGTTTGTGAATATTAATGGACAGCCCTCACAAGTCAGCCCAGTAAAGTATGGGGTGCCTCAAGGATCGGTTTTAGGCCCTTTACTGTTTACAATTTACATGTTACCTCTGGGAGACATTATTAGAAGACATGGGATCAGCTTTCACTGCTATGCAGATGATACTCAATTATATATTTCAACTAAACCTGACGAGACGTCTGAACTGTCTAAACTAACTGAGTGTATCAAAGACATTAAAGACTGGATGACAAACATTTTTTTCTCTTAAACTCAGACAAAACAGAATTATTACTTATTGGGCCTAAATCTTGTACACAGCAGATCTCACTACTCAATCTATAATTAGAGGGATACAAAGTTAGCGTTAGCTCTACTATAAATGATCTGGTTGTCATATTAGACAGCAATTTAACTTTTGAAAACTTTATATCCCATGTCACAAAAACTGCCTTCTTTCATCTGAGAAATATCGCTAAATTACAAAGCATGCTATCTATCTCTAATGCAGAAAAGCTAGTCCATGCTTTTATGACTTCGAGGCTGGATTATGAAGTGGATTTTATACTCTTTAAAGTGTGATGTTAATGTATATATTCAAATTGAATGTGTATAATCTGCTTGTAGACATACATACCATTAGAAGAATACCATTAGAAGGGTTAACCTAGGTGGAAATTGGGGTCAGGGGTTAAATTGGGTGGAATTTGTGGTCAGGGGTTAACCTAGGTGAAATTTGGGGTCAGGGGTTAAACTAGGTGGGATCTTGTGTGAACAATGTGAAAAACAGTTGCAAAAGAGTATTTAAGCAGGCCAGAACATCAGTGAGACAGAATTTTTTTAGACAGAGATGCTACTGGGGGTCTCCTGAAAATTCTCCTTTGTTGTCGACAATAAAGTATACCCTTCTGATATTCATAACCTTCAGACTGAGTTTGATTCATTAAGAGAAAAACCTAAGAAATCACTATAATTGGCGTCCCTGGGTGGGCTGGAAAGGAGCAGGACTGGTGTTACTGTGCATGCTGGACTGGAGAAAAAACACCAATATGTGGCCACAATAAAAAAACGGTAAGCGATTTTATGCTTATTAGTTTGTGTTTTTTCTGCCAGGACCTGCTTGTAACGGTAAATACACTTGAACTGTTTCTCCAGCTTTAAATAATTAAAAGTAAATGTAGAAATCCTGTGGTTACCGCTCTAAGGTTAGAGGCTGCTTGGACAGGTCACTCAAGAGGAGTGTAGAGTATTTATTTAATTGTAGTGTTTGTGTATTTGCTGCTTCGGGTTAGGCAAAATAGTCCACATTGGTGTGCAGAGAAGACTCCCTTCCTCCTCCTTGACTGGAATGAGGATGGGTGATGCAGCTCAGGTTACACTAAGTGGAGGAGAGGAGTGAATGAGAAGAGGAAAAATAATAAGAGTAAAAGTGTGAATGCGTTTAAACGTTTTTTAATAAGGAGTAGGTTAAAATAATGATTATAGTATATTATAATATAAAAGGAGGGTTAAATATGTGAGGTGTGATTTAAAGAACAATAGGAATAGTGATTTATTCAGTTTAAAAGAATAGATTATGATATAAAGGAGGAGTCTTCTAAATCAAAACTAATGGAACATGTTGCATTTGAAAGACACAGAGTGAAAAGGCAGAAGAATATACTAGTTAAACATTTTTCTGAAATTATATTTGTGTTTTAAGTTTAAATATGTTAAAAAAGAACAATAGGCTGAATAGAATTAAATTCTTTACATAGCAACAGGTGAAAGACAGTCTGCCCCAGGATGGGGGTAAGAGATAGATTTATGGTGTCCATGTGTGAACAATAAATAGATTATTTCTATTTACAGCACAAGGAAAACAGAGAAGAGGAGAGTAAAAGAGAGAATATCAAACTATTAGATAAAATAATGACATAGACTTTAGCATAATTGTGGATAGAATATAAGTTATTGATGAATAGATATATTATAAAGTGGTATAGTAAGATAAATGAAATGAGGAAATACTAATAATAGAGTTATATTATATAGAAAAGAGTTTGAAACTCTACTAATGGAAAAGAATAAATGAAGCCATAGTGATGAATATATATAGAGATAAAGGAAGTATGGAGTAAAAGAATATATTAATAAACAAATAGATTTACTAAATAAGTATGAACGAATAACATATAAGTTAGTTCTTGAATTAAGAATAAAATAGAAAAAGAAAACTTAAAAAATGAATATTGATTAATTGAAAATTTAATTATAAAATGTGAAACAAAATAAGCTTTAAAATGTATAAGAAAACCTAAGAGCTAAAAACTTAAATTACAGAAAGGAAAAAGAATAAAATAGAAATAGAAAAAATAAATCCACTGTTTCATAGATCAAATTAAAAGTTTAAAATATGCTTACAATATAGGCACATTGAACAGATAAGATAAAAAGTAAAAAGCAGTAACAATTTGAAGAAATAATTGACTTTAGAGAATTTGTTTGTATTTAAGGGCAATACAAATGCTTGTTTCATCTTTCTCAAAGTCAGCTACATAAGATCTAAGCCATCATCTATTTGTAGTAAAGTAAAGTGATTTAGATGAAAATCACACTGGGTAAATGTTAAAACATGATAGAGTGAGTTAATATATATATATATATATATATATATATATATATATATATATTTAAGAGTGTAGGCAGTAAGAAGATAACTGATAATTAAACATTGCATTTCAAAAATGAAAAATGATTTTAGTAAATAAATATGTGAATTTAATTAATAATATTAACTTTGAGCTATAGCAGTAATGATTTTGAACAGTTATACCAGATATTGGGCCACCATGTAGTATTGTTGAGTTAAATCAGGTATGGAAAAACAGCTATGGAAATAAAAAATACAATACTAAAATACGTGGCAGAGAAAATAAAAGATAAGATAATGTCAAATGGCAAACAGACGAAACATTTGATGTAAGCAGTGAGAAAATAAAAACTGAGTATGGAAAATGTTAGGGAAATTAAAATACGATGTAAAAATGACCGGTTAGTAGAGAAACACTAGCAAAGATGAGGAGAAATGTAAAGTAAAGCATAATCCGAAGCTAAAGAAATTAATTAGAAATAGAATAGAAATAAAAAATTAAACATATTTACATATGATAAAATGATTGTGAATTAGAGAAAAATAAACTGTTAAAACCGTAGAGAGGAGAAAATAGATGAGAGGAGTCTTCATTTGATGGTAAAAACATGGGAAAGAAGAAAAGACTTTTATAGGTTATGAGCTAAATTCCATATATTACTTAAGAGGACATAGGGATGGACTTTGGGGGACTGTGGTCTCTTATCTACCAGACATCTCTGAGTGCACTGTCAAATGGAAAAGGTGTTTGAAAAACACAATGGACAAACTGTTGGCTGTGGACATTTGTGAAAGCAGTGAGGCAGGAACTGCATGCCCAGGAATTACTGAGGACTGGAAAGGCTACTTATGTTCAGAGACACTAAAAAGAGGCAAACAAGCTAATGATTAACTGATCAAAGAGAAAAAGCACTCCACCAGAACTTTACAACAGCTCAATGAAAGAAAAGAAGCCAGCACAAAGAGAAGGGGGAAACACTGTGCCCTGATATGGACACCACAGAAAAGACTGCACTAATCTATGAACCAGTTGTCTTCTCGGGGTGTGAGGAGGGAGAGTATGGTAGTCCATCTCAAAGCAGTCGACCTATAGTCCAAATTGACTACAATGTGACCACTCAGAGGGCAAAATAAGAGCAAAAGTGTAGCTACCCATTCTTGTATCAAATCAGACTCCTGTCAATTTGATAAAAAGAAAAGTATCATGTAAACTGTGAAAAGTCTTAGATGATAATGTACAATGAAACTTTAAATGTGTAATGTTGAAATGATAAATTATGAAGAATGTTAAATTATTTTGGTTCATTTTCATAGGTTAACTCATAGAGATTATTGAACATAAGAGGATAAATTATAATGCATGGTGGTGATAAAAAAGATAATAAAAAACAGTTTTTGATAACTGAAAAAAATAATAATTTGGGTTAGAAGTTGATGGAGTTAAGTATTTAAGTTAAAATTAGGGAAAACTTATTTTGAGTAAACTAAACTAAGATTTGAGAGAAAAGCTATGTCAGAGATTAAGACAGAAAAGTGATTTATACTTGAAGAGAATGAAAAAAAATGAAATGAACTCACAGTACTGAATAGGTCAAAAAGTAACAATTCTAAATGTACTAAAATAATATTTGAAAAAGAAAAGTGTCTAAAAATAAAAAACAGAAAACATTTGTTTTACAAATGTGAAGAAATAATTAAAAGCAAAGAAGAATTAAGGACTAAAGATGAATAATCAGATCAGATAGAGAGGAACCTATAAAGAAATCCAGTGATTTTTCAGTCAACTTGTAGAAAATTACAACAAAAATTTATGTATAACCAGTTTGATGTGAGAGCAGGAAGGAATTAGGAGCTGAAAATGCTGAAAAGCAAAAATGCTTATTAATATAAAATGCAAAATAAGAAATTATTTAGGTAAGTGTCAAATTATAATAATGATTAACAGTTCAGGACATAAAGGTAGACAAAATTAGCCAGCATAGGGAGGATTAATTAAAATTAAATCAGATGCAGGTCTGTTATATGCTGGAATAGGCATTATTGAAACTTTTGAGAACATAGCAATATTAGAAACACTTAGATATGTTATGGCATTTCTAATTAAAGTCAATTTCAATTTGGTTGTGATTGTGTAGGTGACTATTAAAATGGACTCTATTTGAATTTGATTTGAATTAAATTTTTGATTAAGG